GAGCGAGAGCGAGAGCGAGAGCGAGAGCGAGAGCGAGAGCGAGAGCGAGAGCGAGAGCGAGAGCGAGAGAGAGAGAGAGAGAGAGAGAGAGAGAGAGAGAGAGAGAGAGAGAGAGAGAGAGAGAGAGAGAGAGAGAGAGAGAGAGAGAGAGAGAGAGAGATGAGAGAGAGAGAGAGAGAGAGAGAGAGAGAGAGAGAGAGAGAGGAGAGAGAGAGAGAGAGAGGAGAGAGAGAGAGAGAGAGAGAGAGAGAGAGAGAGAGAGAGAGAGAGAGAGAGAGAGAGAGAGAGAGAGAGAGACTGGCCGCATGACTGACCTGCCCGTCGGCGCCGCAGGTGTCCTACCGGTTCGAGGAGAACTCGGAGGACAGTCGACTGTTCAGCATCGACCCCGGCACAGGTCAGATCTCGACCCGAGCCCGCTTCGACCGCGAGGACGCGTCCCGGCCATCACCCTTCTACACGGTGACGGTGATCGCCGAGGACGGCGCGCCGTCCGGCATCCGGAACACATCGCGGCCCAACCAGGGTGAGGCGGCGGCCGGCGCTGGTGGGCGACCGCGCGCTGGTCGGGCTCTAGCGGCTTTGGAGTGCGCTGAGAGCTGACGATTTCAACGGTGTCCTCTCGCACTCCGATCATTCGTACGTGCTTGGGGTTGACTTGGTCGTGCGTGGTGCCGATCTCTGACGGTGGTTGTGGTGGGAAAACCGAACACTGCTGGCGAGGAGTCCATGTTCGTACGACACCTATCGTGTAAGGCATTGACTGTATGCGACCTCCCACAAGTGCTGTAAGTGAACTTCTAGTGTGTTGATCGTGTACATGATGTTTTTGTGTTCTTATCGATAAACCAGATCGGGGTGTTCGTGCTTAACGTTCTGCAGGTCACGGCTCGTGCGAGGCTAGTATGGAAGAAGCGTCGCTCGACGTGACTCGATCCATGCAAACTCTGCCGTCTGAGCAGTAGGAGGCGGAGCTCTCGCGGCCCCTGGCGGTACTGGGTCAAGGGTGTCCCGGAGCCACACTGATTACTGCTCCCGCATCGCTACGTGCCACCAGAATACCAAAGACCAAATCATGAGAACTGGCAGCCACGTGGGTGCGTTGAACCACTAACGTGTGCGCTGCGGTTATTTACAAACCAACTGTACCGGCACGGAGGGGTCATATTCTCGTGTTTTCGTCGTCATCGTGTGCTCGGTCGTGCCGCGCTCCGCCGCAGCCGACACTAGAGCTGGTGTCCTCTCGATTGCAGTGAAGCAGCGCGTGACGGTGGAGATCGGCGACGAGAATGACAACGCGCCCACCTTCGACCCCAACCGGATCTACGAGGCCACCATCAAGGAGAACGCCAACATCGGCGCCAACGTCATCGAGGTGGTGGCCCGCGACCCGGACTCGGGTGAGGCTCGAGGCGGGGCGGGGCGGTGACGGCCGCTCGGTGACGAGTGGTCGCCGGGCGCCGTCGCCCGGGTTAATTAACGAGCTCGTTTGAGCACCGGCGGCGGCGGCGCCTGAGCCGTCGCGGCCGGCACTGGACCGGTGTCAGGTGTCAGGACAGGTGTCAGGTGTCAGGGCGGGTGTCGGGACAGGTGTCGGCTGTAAGAACATGTGTTGGCGGTGGTATCGGGTCGGGCGTCGCATGTCTTGGCTGCTCATCGTGACCGAAGTCTCGGCCGTTCGCCGTGACGTGTGCCGCGTCAGTTCCTGGTGTTTCGTCTCCGGTTTGTGGTCTGCAAACTATTGATAACTGTCTGTAGCGCTCCTCATGCTCTTGCTGAGCTGCTTCTCTTTTGACCGTGGTAACCCCACCTACTCCGGTGCCCTGGACTTGGCGCGTGAGGCTCCATGCTTCGTCACCGCGTGAAGCCTGGCACCGGTGTGCCGAGGCAACCGTCCCTGGCTGCAGTCAGTCGGCAGTGGCACTCCACCAAATGTCAGTGTGGACATGGATGCCCCATCACTTGCTGAACAGTTGCGGAGTCCTGTCCATTGGTGACGGCCGGCCGGTCTATAATCATTCTAGCTCACTTCCCTTACAGTGCTGACGTAATACTGTGGTGTAAATCAATGTCCTCGGTTGTGTTGTACGGCAGGGAGCCTTCTATTTTGGTGATATGGTTTCTCGGGTTGTCTCATGGTGTGGCAGAAGACGTGCGCTCGTCCAGTGCTTGCTGTGATGCGTGCTCGAGGCCAAGCGTTGTTCGACCCCTGCGCTGCCGCCGTCACTCTCCGGAGACGATGCCATGACCCGGTCAGGGCTTCACCGGGATGAGCGTGGCGGGACAGCACCGCCCGCCCCAGCGCGGTGGATCCCGGTTCGTTTCCGTCGTGCTTTGAGTGGCAGCGTGGGCGCCCCAGCCCCAGCCCCGTGTTGACTCTGTGGCACGGTATCGCGGCCTGGACAGATGTGTTTGCCCCGGTTATCTCGGGCCGGGTCGAGTGCGCCCACCTGTGTGTGCCGGTGCATCCGTGTCTTATCGGTCCTCGCCCCGCTGGAAATTGCCTCTCTGCCCGGCAGACTCCAAGATCCAGTACCAGATAACAGACGGGAACCACGGCGCAGCTTTCGACGTTGACACCGACACGGGCATGGTCAAAGTGAAGAACAAGCTGGACTTCGAGAACGTGAAGGAGGTAGGGCAGACGCGGCCATCCTGTCCCGTCCCGTCCCGCTCACGCTGATCTGCCTACGCCGGAGCCGGCTGGACCGCGCCTCACGGTTCCAGACTATAGCGCAATAAACTTAAATGGATTTCAAACTGGTCAGCACGATCATAAACTTTATGGTGCTGAAGCCTTTCTATTCGAAGGCGTATCAAATTTGGGTTTCGTTGCGATGTGTGATGCCGCGTGATCATGTGGCGTTTTCTGTGAGTTTCGGGGTAGAGCTGTTTTACGTTCGTCAAATGACGTCATAAACGAACCGACGGCATTTTCGGCGGCTATTGGGAATGGTCTCAAAGTAAATGGTGGTCGCGTCCGTCATAATCCAGCATTCATCAGCATTTAACGTGTTCTCACACAGTCATGAAACGTTGACCGGCTGTATTAATGCAATGCAGAACGTGGTTACGACGGGGTAGCACCTCACTACACGGATGACACGTGTAGTTCGGCCCAACTTTGTCACTTTTGTACGACTGGATGGATTCCGCTGCTTCTCCGTGGCCGAATAGGCTGCCGAGTCGGGTGGGAGTCACTCGATTTGAAACATTCGGTTTGTCTTACAAGCTGCTGCAAAAGCACTGAACTTAATTGTGTGTTGTCCAAATATTGCTGAAACTTTGTAGAAATGTTGTCGACGTTTTGGCCCCATAAAGAACTATGGGCCTTCTTGAAAACTTTGTGCCTTTCCGGGGCCAGGTATGACGTAGTCATACGGAAAAATGCATGCTTGAGGATGGCTTGTCAATGTGCAACACCTTCGCGTACGTGCGATGCATCAGCATGCGCTACCATAAGCACATTTATTTTAGGCGTCGCGAGAACGGATTGGCGCATGCGCGCAACACTGCTGTACCACGTTATTTATTGGTGTAAACATTTGTTATTCGTGACGGTGTGGGCGCCAGGTAAGTTCTAACCTTTTAGCGTCACGTTCCGCCTCGCGACGTAAAGAGTCGTGCCATATCTCGCCCATGACGTATGGAAGGGCCATTTGCTGAACCGGTACTGTCAAGCTGGCCATTTGATCATCCGCCGTCTACTCATGACTATGAGACGGAGGTAAATGTTAATATACGCCCGTAGAACGCTCTTTGTATGTCCACTTTCATGTGCCCGTAGAATACCACCTCCACCGCCCATTTGCTTTCGGCTTTAAAAGACCACCTCTGTCGTCCATTTACTCGCGCCCGTAGAGGACCGCCTGTGACGTCCACTGCTCGTGCACGTAGAACACCGCCTCTGCTGGCCGTTTGGTCCTGTGCGTGGAGGCCCGGCGGTGAAGGTACGCCTCCCTGTCCGGCAGTACACAATCTCGGTGACGGCCTCCGACGGCAAGTACGAGGCCACCCACCCGGTGAACATCGACGTCACCAACGTCAACGACGTGGCGCCCGTGTTCAACCAGTCCGAGTACCGGCTGAAGATGAGCGAAGGCCGCGCCTCCTCCGAGCCAATCACCAAGGTCGGTGGAGCCAGGCACATGGGAATGGTATAATGATCTGTCTGGTGTAGGGGTTCGGGGACTTGAGGTAAGGGTGGGAGTGAGAGTGGGGAGGGGGTAGCGGGGACGACTCTTACAGTGGTGGAGTTTGTGTTGTTGCCATGTTTGGCGACTGGCAGGTGAGAGAGTCTGGTTGGAGTTGAGCGTGGCTTTGCTGCACGGTTTACTGAAGCCTCTGCGGAGGTGGTCCGAAGTGCGCGACTAAGGGTGCCGCGCGGTCTGCTGCAGTCTCTACGGAGGCGGTCTGGAGCGTGCGATCAAGGGCTTTTTGTTTTAAGAGTGAAGAATTGCTCCGTTGTTTTTTTCGTTGCAGCAGATAGGGGCGACATTTATTAAACGTTTGAGCCGATTGTGGCTCGTTTTTTTAAATCATTTTACGTCCTGACAAAGCCATCTTTTCCATACTGGTGGAGAAGGACACTTGACTCAATACAGTTGAAGCACGCATGAGGCTCAGTAACTGGTCCTACAATTCATATGTAGTTTCGAGCTTGTTGCTGTTGTGTAGCCGAAGAGAGGACTCCCAGATTGGGTCCACCTGCTTAAAGGCTGTTAAATAAAGCCGTGATTTAGAGATTCCCACTTCAAGCGCTGCCCATTATACGGCGCATTTCAGAGATCGATTACCACATTCGTCTCGCAAAAAGGCGGTCGCAGCTGTTGCACTGTGTCCTTGAAGCTGGTTGCGATGATCTTATCATGGTTTGTGATAGAATTACGATTGGAAATTTCCATACTGTTCAGGACAGACCTTCCACTATGGAGAAATATGACACCAATATCCGAGAGACCATTCCAATCTACAGTCCCGGGTGCTGTTAAACCAGAAGCCAGCTACGGGCTATATGTTGTCGTTGGAGAACTGTATACACCGACTCTTGGCACGCCAAGTTTTAACAGTATCTATCCAATGCGCCCGACAGCTTGAAACGTGCAGGAGGGTGTGTAGCTTTGGACGTGTTGTAATTCGTAGTGCGTAAAAGTAGGTTATATTTGGCCATGGTATTACTATTGTCTTTAACTATTTGACATAGCAGGCCTTTCCGTCACCTGTAACTTCTGTTGCCTTGAATTATTTTATGTAGCAGACTTTTCCACCCACCCAAGAGGCTACATGTCGCGTTGTGCCGTCTGAACCCCACGTGGAACTCGACTCCTGTTCGTTTTTACTTTTTTGGCCTGTGCATAGTGGGCGACTCACCAGTTGTTTCCATACACATGTTCTTGCTCGAAAGTACTTGGTGACACCCGCGCAGTCATGCTGGTCATGTTTTCACTTGTGAGCGCTCTTTGCATGCTTACGTCCCGCTCGCCTTGCCTGCGTGTTGGTCATCTCCCAGGTGTCTGAGTGCCGTGCCCCTACGTCCACGGAGCGGTACCTGGACCGGAGGCCCTTCAGGTCGCGTGATGTCCGTACGGGTCGCACCAGCGCGGGACGGCGCCCCGATGGGGCCCGGTAGCGTAGTCGTCCTGCTTTGATCGTCATTGTTTGTATTTACGGGAAATAGGACGCTTGAGCCCTATCGATTACCGGATAACCTAGTTTGATTATTTTAGGAGACCTGGCCTGATTTACAGTCGGGTTTTTGTGCCAATCCGCGCTGCACCTTTCTTTGGCGATGTGTATGTAGACGGCATGTAGTGTATGTGGGCAGCAGATGATAATCACCGGACGTTGCCCTCAGGTCACGGCCACGGACAAGGATCCGGATGGTGAGGCGTCCATTGTGTACAAGCTCTCCGGTCCGGGCATCTTCCCCGACCGGCCCAAGGACGACGTCTTCAGCATCAACGACGACGGCGAGGTGGTGGTGCTGAAGGTACGCCCCGCCGCCTGAGGCCACTGGGATCGCGCTCTCCCTCACGGCCCGCTCGCTCCATTGGTGGAGTCCAACTGGCTCCATCTCGCTCCTGTCTGTCGTGCCCAGGCGGGGTCGTCAGCGGAACCCTAATTGAGTCATTCTTCTTCGCGGCTCAGTCTCCCATCTCCGGTCTGGGCAGGCCGGCTGCATGCTCTGGCTGGGTCATTTAGCGGCGGGGCTTGTCGTCCAGGCGTCGTGCCGCGCGAGCGAGCGGATCGCAGCAACTGTTCCCGCGCCGTTCCTTTGACGGCGGAACACCACCACGTCCAGCTGCAGGTGTTGTCGGTGGCGGCGTCACCCGTTCACTTGCACGCCTAGCAATCCGAGTCCCGCGTGATCGATGTCGACAATTTGCCCAACATTGCGCTATGATTAGACTGAAATTGCTTCAGAACCGGCAAGTGTTCCGGCTGGGTGCGGCGAGACATGTGATACGGCGTTTGACCTGGATTCGTTAGCGCTCTGTCTGGCCGCGACGGGTCACGGTCCGTGACGCTGTGCGCGTTTTTGCAAGTTTACAGCGCTTACATGGGCCCGCCTTTTTCTGAGCATCCCGCGCTGTACTTCGTCATCATTATTTTCAAATAATCCTTGTTGGCAATCACCATGTGCTTCGCCCGACCCTCCGCGTTTCGCTCATTCCCAAGTCGACCATGTCCGCGTCTCGCGCCCACCGTCATCTCCCCCTCCCCCTCCCCTACCCCCACCCCCGCTCCTGGACCGGCGACAGTAAGCGCGCGCCGAGGCCGCGGCCGCCGCCACCGCCGCTTGTAACGGTGACCGGTGCCGCAGATCCTGGACCGCGACGAGGACACTGGCGGCCGCGAAATCTGGAAGCTGTCGGTGGTCGCCTGGGACAACGGTGGCAATGGCCTCGGCTCGTCCGTGCCCTTCACGCTCACGCTCACGGACATCAACGACAACGCGCCTTACCTGATCCAGGTGCGGTCACGGAGAGACGGCGCCGCGTGCGACTTGGTGCCTAGCTCCCGCCTCAGTACGTGCTGGCTGGCTTCACTCCCTCTCGAGTGTCGTGGCACTAAGGGTCTGAGCAGTTGCGATGATCAATGCGTAATTCCAGAGGTCAAGGAAACAAACATTTTGATCTCGGTTTTTGCAAAGGGTTTTCTTTCTCTTAGCTGCATGTGCCGCATGAATTTTGGACTTTCCTCTGACGGCTTCTATTTTTGGCTCAGTTTTTTTTAATAAGTTTTGTTAGTGACTTAGGTTTTGTGTCTGTTCATTGCTGGCAATCATTAGTAATGCATTGCTGCTATCAAGCGTTGACTTGACCCTGCTTGAACGTCTTCTATAGGACTGTTACCTGCTTTATCGCTAGCGTAGCGTTACGGCACCGTAATAGCGCCTCACAAGCTACCGACAGCCAACGCGCAAGCGTCTAAATACAGCTGCACATGCCCCGCAGAGCAACAGTTCGCGGCCAGTAATCATGGAAAACAAGTCCCCGGAGGATGTCGTCATCCCAGTGGAAGCGGACGACTTTGACGACCACCAGAGGAACGGCCCGCCGTACACATTCCAGCTCGACCCCAACGCCCCTGACGACATCCGGCACAAATTCAGCGTCATTACCGTCGGTGAGATGGCGCCACAGTCTCCTGCTCCCGATGCGTGTTTTGCTTTGACAGCTTTAGAACATGGATATTACATAAAGTGAAGTGCTTCGCCCTCGGCTGATTTGATAGCTAACGTTTCTTGGCATGTTTTGCAATGGATTCTCAGACGACGTCTCTTGGGATGTTTTGCAGTGAATTCTCAGACGACATCTCCTGGGATGTTTTGCAGTGGATGCTTAGATGACGTTTCTTGGCATGTTTTGCAGTGAACGCTCGGACCTCGGCGCGCAGACATCTTATGTTGCGCGGTGCGGGCAAAGCCATCTAATCATTTTGTTTTTTACAACTGGCTGGACCCGGTCGCCAGTTCACGAAGGGCACTGGCATCAGCCGTTTGTGGTATCAGAAACGAGGTCTTGGGTTTGACCCTTGGTGACCTATTCCCGGGCTCATGCTATTGGCTGGGAGGTTTTTCGTCATGTGTTCCACCTCTCTGGCTTGACCACACCAGACCAGACCAGACCCGATCCCAGCTGGCTTGACCTGACCTGGCCCGACCGGACCCAACATGACCCGATCTGACCTGATCTTACCTGACCTGGCCTGACACAATCGGACCTGACCCAACCTAACCCGGCATGACCCGCTGTGACCCGAACTGTCCCGAGCTGACCCGAGCTGACCCGAACTGACCCTCAGTCCAGGACAACCGTGCGGAGATCCGGCCGCTGGTGACCTTCGACCGCGAGGATCAGAAGTCGTACGCCATCCCGGTGGTGGTGAGCGACAGCCAGTCGGCCTCTCCCGGCCCGCTCACCGGCACCAGCCTCTTCACCATCATCATCGGCGACGAGAACGACAACGACATGAAGGAAGGCACCAGTCGCATCGAAGTCTTCAACTTCGAGGTCAGTCGCGAGGTCCCACTGTCAGTGGCTGACACGTGCTTGGCTCAAAATGCACCCGACTCTGCCTGCCGTCGGGGTCAGATCCGGACAGAGCGTCCCTGGATCGCTGGGGGACGGGGCTGCGAACGTAGCCTGGTGTAGGTTTAAGTCGGGGGTCCATGTCGTGGGATTATGAGGGTGCCCGTGAGACTGTGAAAAACGTGCTCTGGGGCTTCGCCGCGATGGGGTCACTCCTTAAGCTAGTCCCAACGCAAGTATGTCAGCGTGGAAAAGCATTCAAACGATCTTAAGTATCGTTGCTCATTATACGACGCCTTAAGTCGACTGCCGCGGAGCAGCGGCGCCGAACGCTGTGCTTATTGTTCATTAAGCATTGTGTATTCCCTCATCGCTAAGGTATTTTGATAATTACCACTCTGCTGCCGGCACGCTAGAGTGCAGGCTATTCCATGTTTTAAGCTGATTTGATGGTCGTTGACGGGGAAAATGGAGGTTAACGATATGGTCGGTACGGTGCGGAAGTGCAGCTGAAATGGTGCCATAACTGCATCTACACCATACCGTGAATGCCGATAACATCACCGACATCATTTCTCCCTTGGGACTTGCTCGCGCGACGTCGTCTAGCCGGCACCGGGCACCGTATTTTACTGCGGTGCCTCTCCACATTCATTTCACCGAAGTTGTCGTGGGTATTTCCGTTACCTCGGTCACTCCTTCTCCGGTCTTCCCGCGAATGCTGAAAGCGCGGGCAACCGGCGTTCCCATTCTCCGGCGGTGTGTCGTATTCCGCTGGACATTTACCCACGTGAAGACCATGACGACGTAAGTGTCAATGACCATGGAAACTAGAGGCGAGGGTGGCGACAACAACATTCGCAGTGATTCTTTTTTTTCTCGGCGCTTTTACCAACTGCAGCCACTGCTCAAACAGCCGTCTCGTGTCTCTCACGACATTAGCCACAACGGGCGGGCAATTCGTGCGTAGCGCGCGAAATCTGAACCCCAGCCCACCAAGCAGACGCGCCGCGCGTGCTCGAAGACGCGTCGTGACCCGCCCTGACCTCGGACAGGAGCGGCGGCGCGCGGCCGGGCCGCCCGAGGTCGCCGACGTGTGGCTGACGGCCGAGTACGTGCGGAGGAAGGTGTATTTCCCGCGCCCCAAAGTGGGTACCGGCTGCCCTCGGCCGGAGCCGGACTCCGCCGGCCACGCATGGATTGTGCTCGACACGCGCGGCATGCCGTTACTGGGGCGCTGATCGGCTGCGCGAGCCTGCCGGTCCTGGCACAGTGCAGCGTCGGTGCGACGAATGCGACAGCTGCGACAGCTGCACTGTGGTTGCACCAGCTGCTCTGCGATGGCTGCACTCGGCTGGAATGTGCGGGGCGCGTGGTCGATGCGGCCGCTCCGTTGCTGTGTGGACGCCCCCGCCTGTACAGAGTGATTCTCCCCGTGCCGGTGGCGGCGCGCCGGACGGCAGTGGTGTGTCGCACCTGGCTTGTTTACTCGACGTCGCCAATGGCCTGAGAACGGCTGCCCCTGGCGCCCCGCTTGTCCGTCACGTCAGCGGAAGCGCGTGACGCCGCCCTGACGTCACCGACGCATGACGCAAGCCACGTCAGCACGTCAGACCACGTCGGCACCGCCTGGCCTCTGCCCCCTGCCTTCTGCCCCCTGTCCCCTGCCCCTTGCCCCCTGCCCCCTGCCGCGGCCCCTGCCCCCCGGCACTGCCTTCTGCCACCCGCCCGGCCGCAGAACTGGTCGGACGTGACACTCTGCTTCCATTGACATCCGCGTCTGGCGCCGCGCCCCCACCGGATGGCTTGATTTGATTTCGCCTCTGGCCGTGCAGCACGCCGTCGGCTGCAGTCGCTGTCACTTTGCCGGCGGAAGTGTTTGTCATGAGGTGCTCTTCTGTCGCGATGATTTCCTCGAACGCCGCCATGCCGTGCTCCCCAGCGTATCGCGCCTTTCGGACGTACGGCTGCAAGGTGACTGACTTATTCGCCCCCCGGGCATCGTCCTGATGTTGACAGTGAGGTATGGCCGGGAGTCCACCTCTCCCAACCCCGCCCCTTTCAAAATTGAGTACCACTTCAAGGCACCGAAGCGTTTCTCCTGCTGCGTGACCGCGTGACCTTCAGCCGGTGACCGTGAACTTTGCCACCGCTGACCTGGTGACCTTCATGGCCGCAGGGGAAGATGCCTGACACGGTGGTGGGCCGTGTATTCGTGGAGGACCCGGACGACTGGGACCTGCCGGACAAGACCTTCTCCTGGCTGGACGGCCAGGACTACCGCCACTTCGAGCTCGACACGGAGACGGGCAGCATCACCATGCGATACGGCACGCCAAACGGCTCCTACCCGCTCAAGTTTCAGGTACTGCGCCGAGCTAGGGAGAATCTTTGTTTGCCTGAGAATGGGAAAGGAGGAGAGCGAGTCTCGCGTTTGAAGATATTGACGCAAGCGTCAGATGTGATGGAACAAGTTCACCTATAACTATTGTAATTATTGGTATAATTTTTTAATGGCAAAGACTGCTCTTGGTAGCACAATTCTCTGTTTAGTAAATTTGCTTTTCGATGTGTCATGGTTTGATTACGTCATCGTACCTTGCACAACATTGGTTGATAGCCGAATGACAGCCGTGATGTCTTGAAATCGTGCTCACAAACGCCATATATGAACTCCTCTATAATCATATCTTTCTTGGCCTTTATCGCCGTATGGCTCATGGAATAGCAGGACATTAATGACGCTATGATGACGTTATCAACTGTCAAGGCAACTTAAAAATACTCTCCCAGAAATACTCACCCCATTTTCGCGGGCGTGCAGCTCAGAAACTAGCGGGCCTAGGTCTTAAGAAGAAAAGGGTTGTGAACAGCACCGAAAGATCCTTCAAAATGGCTATTTCAGTTCAAAACCCCATATAAATGTGAAACACTCCCTTTAAGAGACAACACGTGGCATTCGGTTCAGACGCGGTACGCAAGCTCAGTAATGATAATATCCATCAATAATTCATCTCGTTTCGTATGCTACGCTTTAGGCTCAGCCCCGTCCCCATATTTGTAAGCGCTGGCTGGACCCGTTATCTGCAACAGGACGCCTAATCTGATACCCAGTCTGTAACTGAACCTGAAACTGAATCCGAAACACCGGCGAACGCCATCATCGGGCGACGAGAGCTTGTTTTTCACGCCACCACCGCGAAAGCCTTGTGGTAGCGTGCGATAACAACAGTTCCGCCGCGCGTCGCCAGGTGTACGACAAGAAGTTCCGCAGCACGGTAGACGCGTACGTGACGGTGGCGGTGCGCCTTCTGCCGCGGGAGGCCGTCATCAAGTCGGGCTCGCTCCGTATCAAGGGCGTCACGGCAGAGGAGTTCGTCTCGCGGCCGGACAGGGAGGTGAGTCGCCGGCGGATCTCGCTGGGCGTCACGCTCGTGACCTATCTGCCCACTGGACTCAGAACGTATGACCCGCGCCACGCCTCCCGTGACATGCGCCACAGCTCGTGCCCCGCCTCCCGTGACACGCGTCACAGCTCGCGACACGCCTCCCGTGATATGAGTCACAGCTCCCGCCGCGCCTCCCGTGACATACGCCACAGCTCGTGCCACGCCTCCCGTGACATACGTCACAGCTCGCGCCACGCCTCCCGTGACATGAGGCACAGCTCGCGCCACGCCTCCCGTAACACGCGTCACAGCTTCCGCCACGCCTCCCGTGACATTAACCCGGAGCTCGGTTTCAGGCACCTGGCTCGTTCCGCCACGCTCACACCATGCAGTGTCTCGCTCAGGCTGTCATGCCCTCGAGGGTCCTTGGCCACGTTCATCGGACGAGGAAAATACCTCTTGCTTACAGTCAGATAAACATATGCACGAACACGACCCACAATGTTTTGATCCGGCACAGGTCAAGGTCACGGCTTCCCGCCGTGACGTCACCGCCCCCCCCCCTCCCCCAGACGCCGTCGATGCACGAGCGTCTGATCGTCCAGCTGGCCCGGCTGTTCACCACCGTCCCCCCCTCCCCCAGACGCCGTCGATGCACGAGCGTCTGATCGTCCAGCTGGCCCGGCTGTTCACCACCGCCCCCCCCCCCCTCCCCCAGACGCCGTCGATGCACGAGCGTCTGATCGTCCAGCTGGCCCGGCTGTTCACCACCGCCCCGGAGAATGTTGACCTGTTCGGCGTGCAGAACAACGACGCCGGCGGCGTGGACGTGCGCTACTCGGCGCACGGCTCGCCCTATTACGACAGCGAACGCATGGACGGCATCGTGGCGCAGAACAAAAACAGGTGGGCGGTGGGGGGCGCCGCGCGTGGCGCGTGATGAGGCGAGGCGGTAGCGTCTGTGCATGCCACGGCTGGTGTGGGTGGTGCATGGTGTTGAAGGTGGCGGTTGTTGTGTTGCGCGCATTTTTTGCTACGGTGGTTTATGATGTTTGGTTTGCCTATGCATTTAGCTGTAGTCGTGTGAGTGCATTGACCTTATGGGAGAGAAACGCTGGTTTGTCACGGTTATTGTTGTCATGCCTATTAGAGAACCGCGTGATTGAAGTACTGTTTCACCTCGAATATGATGAGTAAGATATGAGGGAAGTACATGGCCGATATGTTCCTGGGTTTTTATCACCATTAAGATATCATGCCATGACACTGCGACGGAGCCACGCGCAGCTGACCGGCCCCGCTGATCCATCTTAAGCTGCTGGCATGCCGTCCTCGCGGTTGCTAACTCCTGTGATCTGCGTGCTCAGCTGGAGGATTTGTTCGGCTTCGAGATCGAGCAAGTGGGCATCAATGACTGCCTGTACGAGGCAACCTGCCAGGGCAGCTGCCACGCCGAGCTGAAGATCTTCGACGACGAGGTGTACCGCGTCCAGACCAACACGTCGAGCATCATAGGTGGGTCGCAGCGTCGGGATGGTGGTGAGCGTATCTCGCTCCTACCGCGCCGACAGTAGGCATCGGATCAGAATAGGGTCCGTAAATGCCCAGTGCAGTCAAAGCAAGCGACGCATCTGGAGTACATAAGGAAGTTGACTTCTCTAACGCTTGACCTGGCCCTGCCCTTCGCTCGCTCCGCCATCATTCTGTGAAGGCCTGCATGCCACACGAGGTAGCTGAGCTATTGCGTCACTGATCCCGATCATGGTGGTGGATGGGTGTAGTCTCGTTGGATTTAATGCCAACAACTGTTGCTGTATTGCCTATGTCTCCGTGTCATTTCGATAGCACCAGTGTGTCGACGTACGACTGGGAGGCACATGCTCATTGCATTTTGTACTGGTTCCCCCAGGCTGAAACTCGTGCAACAGCCGGTGCAACTTTGTGCTGAACTTTGAGCATTATTTTGCTTGGATCATTTTACCATGATCACCGCGAGTTTTTCCTCCCGATGACATTGAATCCGTTGCTGCGCCACAGCATTAGGACTAGCACACGCGATCATCACGAGCCGCTTTTAAATCTTGTGACCGACGCCTGGGGCTGTTGGACGTCACCAGGTGTGAAGACGGAGCTGCAGTACCGCTGTGGCGAGTGCGAGGCCAAGATGGAGCGCCAGATCTGTCTACACGACGGCGGCTGGAATGAGGCGCGGCAAAAGTGAGTCGGTGATGTTCAAAAGCCTCGATCCCAGAGCTGGCCTTGGATAAACCAAAAGGTGTTTTTATTTAGACTGAAGCCTCTGACGTTCGCAGTTCTACTACCGTTTGCTAAGTCTGAACGCCCTGCACTGTCACGGATGTTCACCGTATCCTACAACACACGAGAATGCAATTAGAGATCAGCTGGTGCTTTGCAGAAATGGTGGATAAACCAAAAATACATGTTTTCATTTGGGCTGACGCTCCTGACGTTTGCATTTCTATCTTTTGTGAAGTCTGAACGCCTCCGTTGTCAGGAACGTTCATTGCATCTTCGGACCCCGACCCGTCACGTTCGGCCACCGCGCTCCAAAGCGTCGGCCAGCCCGTCTGTGTGTTTCGCTCCGTGGTGGTGCGCGCCCGCGCGCCCGCGCTGCTCCCTCGCCGTCACCGGACCCCGCGCGCGCAGGTGCGACTGCCCGGAAGGCTACCCTGGCCCCAACTGCCAGGGCGACACGATCCACTTCGAGGGCACCGGCTACGCGTGGTTCCCGACGCTGACGGCGTGTAACGCGTCGCGGCTCAGCTTCGACCTGACCACGGCCGCCGACGAGGGCCTCGTCATGTACAACGGGCCGCTGTCCGAGCCCCCCGACTTCGTGCAAGGTCAGTAGGCGACGCCGGCCGCCTGGGAGGGGGAGGGCGTGCGGAGCCGCTGAGAAGCAAGGGGTCCGTGGGGCTGAGGGGGGTGGGGTGGGGGTACCGAGCCAGGCCCCGGAAGATGAACATTGCGGAAGCTGTGCGTGTCCGGATCGCCCACGTTAGTTCAAGGAATGTGGTACAAGCCAGGCATCGCCGTGCGCGACTTTTTCGGATGCCCAGCGGGTACGGTATCAACTGCTATGTAGGCGTGCTTTCACCTGTCACAACGACCAGGAATTTCACGCACTGTATGAAGAGACAGCGAAGGATTAGACGACTTCGTATTGGTAAGTAAGGTCACTTGGCAAGCTGCCGCTGCCTGGTACCGCGCTGATATACTCTGTTTCACTGAACCTAGCGTCTCCCTCCTTCTCTAACATATCACTCGGCGTGCAGATTTTTTCGCGGTGGACCTGTTGGAGGGTCGCCTGCGTGTGTTCATGAACTACGGTACGGGAACGGTAGTGGCCAGTCCCGAGGTCAAGGTCGACGACGGGGTCATCCATCACGTGGACATCACCTGGGACACAGAGGTCAGTATGCATGCGGGCTCTTGCTGCCATGCTAGTCACGGTCTGGAGTCGTGGTGTTTCCGCTATGTTGACGTCGCATCGGGTGTGAAGATAGGGATGTATATGGCGAGAAAAGGTGCCGCGGTGCACGTCTTGAACGCCCGCAACAGGACCTGACGGAACAGGCGTGCCCAGTACTTGACAAACGTAAAACAGGGGATCGGGAAGGATGCGTTGCAAGGGAAAACAACAGCTGCAACATGCAACGTGACGTGTAACGTGACGTGACGTGTGACGTGACGTGACGTGACTTGACATGTGACGTATGCCGTGCCGTGTGACGTGACGTGACGTGACGTGTGACGTGACACGTGACGCCTCGCGTTACGTAAGTGACGTGTGACGCCGGCGACCCGCGTGACGCCCCTCCCCGCCTGCAGACGGTACTGGTGCTGGTGGACAGCTGCGTGGGCGGCACCACCTGCCAGGCGTCGGTGGCGGCGCCTGCCGCGCCTGACGGCGAGAAGAACGCCTTCCTGAACGTGGTGACGCCCCTGCAGCTAGGCGGCTCGGCCGTGCCGCTGGACCGCGTGCAGGCCTTCATGTCCTGGGAGACGGTGCCCGGCTGGGGCGGCTTCTCCGGCTGCCTCCAGAACATGACCTTCCTCGACAGGGTGAGACAGCGCCCGCGAGCGGCGGGCGCGCAGAGAGCGAGACGGGCTTCGTGTGTGATCACGAACTCAATAAACCGATCATTATGTAGGTGTGTTAAAAAACGGAGAGTCACGTCAGTTGTGTGTATGATTGTTGAGAAAGGCTGAGGCGAAACAGATATACTTCAATTTTGGTTTACTCTGTCCATATCACGAACAAATCGCTGTTAGATACATATGAATAATGCCGTCCAAAGTTGATGCAGCATCGCCTATTTTACGTGTTTTGTGTAGCACAAGTGTAACTGGAGTTAGTTTAGGCGTGGTGCAGATTTTTGCCAGAGTAGAGTGCGGTTTTGGGTTATTGTGACAATTTGGATCCGGTTCGGGCAGGAATTAGGGTTTCAGCAGAGAACTGGTTTATAACCATCATCCATGACATGGGCCATCTATCATCCCCATCGAAGTGATAAGTATTTATCATAGATAGTGTATTGTCGACAGCTTGACTGCGACCGTATTTGCATCGCTCCCACGTCACTTACGTCTCGAATCCTCCAGCCAGAGCCACGCAGTGACTGGAAGGAGGCTGGTGACCCACTCCTTGTGTCCGTCTAACGCGCAGGTGTTCGACCTGAGCGCGCCTGCTGAGGGGAAGGACTTCAGCCGTTACTGCTCGGAGGTGGTGAAGGCCAAGCCGGTCATAGAGCCGACGTCTGGCTTTCTGGCCGTCATTCTCGGCTGTGCGGGTATCCTGCTGAGTGAGTGATCCCCAGCTCGTTGCTCAGCGCTGACCTGAGTTGGAATGCTTGAACTGCTGCTTGTATTGCATGAGTGGTGAGTGGTGCACCGGGGCACTTTGTTTCGGCGTGTCAATGCGCTGTACCAAAGCTGTCCTGCGGAAGGTTTTGTAACGCCGTGTACCGTCCTTGGCGTGTCAAAATCGAGATTCATTCACACAATGACACTCATTGGTTGACAACTCAGCGCTGTTCATTCATTCATTCATCCATTCATTCATTCATTCATTCATTCATTCATTTATTCATTCAGTCAGTCAGTCAGTCAGTCAGTCAGTCACAAAGAGACATCCGGTCGTCATTGTCACGATTATTCCGAGACGAACCCGATGTTCCGCTGTGGTTCAATGTTCAATCTTCGCCGACTCGGCTGCGACGCGCCCCTGGCCTGAACCCGCCCCTCGCCGGCAGTGCTCATCATCGCGGTGATCATGTACCGCCGACGGCACGTGCGAGCCCTCTACAAGGAGCCGACGGACGAGATGCGGGACACCATCATCAACTATGACGACGAGGGCGGCGGCGAGAAGGACCAGACGGCGTACGATCTCAGCGTGCTGCAGGTGGCCAACGGCGTGCCCAGTGAGTTGGGAGCGGGAGGGGGCCGGGCGTGGGTCGGTCGGACCCTGACTTCAGACATGGAGTGGCCCTGATGGGACGCGTGTGAGTGTGTGTGGATGTGCACCGCCGGCATGAAGCTGTTACCAGATTTTTTGTAAGGGTACGTGGGCTTTGGTAACGCTGATCACAAGCTAGATTTAGTGCCAGGTTTTCAAACATCACTGGTGTTACCAGAGGGTCACTTTATTAAGCATGTCTGCGGTGCTGGTCGTGGCTTACTGCTAACTGGCCAAATGTGAGAGAATGCTGTGTGTGGTAACAGTATCAGTTCACAAGCACCGGAGAGGATAAATTATGATGTCGCGTCAGCAGTAACAAAATTGGCATTTGCCTTGCGATACTGTGTCTTTTGGCTTCGAGTCCGTCCAGTTTCCACTTCACGCTGCCAGCGTCTTAGTTATCGATCTGCCTGCCATCTATGCCAAGTGTCCTGCACTACAGCTTCAGTTGTGCACGGTTGGGCATGTGGTCGATCCCTGCATGCTTGAGACTACGAGCGTTCTGAATAGGAGCTCTCTGGCACATCCGTGGGCAGTTGATGTTGTTGGAGGAGGGCGATGGATGTAGTTTAAGTGCCTGTTGACTTTAATAACGGCGCCGAGGAAACCTCAGGCTAATTGCTCACCTAATTGCAGCTGGCGGCGAGTAATTTGAGTGTTTGATGCGAAATTTAACGAGAACAGTGCTTCACCCCCTATTAAATTCCTCACGAGTTAACGATAACAACCCGTGAGATTTTCGCCCACTGTGTGCCATGCATCGAGCATTCTGCCGCCCCTACAGCAGAGTTTAACCGCATACAAGCAGCTTGTCACCCAGACGACCACCGGGACCCCGTGACATCGCCGTGCTCCCCGCAGAGGAGAACGGCCGGCCGGTGGGCCAGACGCCCGGCCAGCCGCCGTCCGTGCGCAGCTTCATCGACGACAACAAGAACCAGATGGACAAGGACGAGCAGGCCTGGCCGTCAGACGACGTCAGGAACTACGCCTACGAGGGCGGCGGCAGCTCGGCCGGCTCGCTCTCCTCGCTCAACTCGGGTAGGCGGCTGGTTGGTCGGCCGGCGCGCCGGCAGGATGTGGGGGCGCGAGGCTTGGTGGCGCGCGCCTGACGGGGCGCGGGGCTTCTGCGAGGCAAAACAGGTCGTTTGTTGCTGTTTGGATGTGGCAGGTGGATGGTTTCATTTCCGTGGCGTCGGGACGCTACGTCTCGCTAAAGCGCAGATGAATGGAGTGGATTTAGAGGGTGGCCGGATTATCTTGGAGCGAGGGAAAATGTTTACGTAGATTTTCTCAGGATTAAGGGAGTTTTTAAAGTCTGACTGGTGTAGTGGGTGCGCCAAGTGCCAGTCGTTTTGATTTCCTGAGCGATATTAGCACTTATTTCTGATAATAACTTCTAATTTCACGTCAGTGTCGTCCCAGCCGCAGTGGTGGCTGCCGCCTTTATTTTTAACCCGACTATCTTTAGACACCAAGGCGCAGCTAAACGCTTGACACGACGTGGGGCTGTCACAGCTGGCGGTGTCGTGACGTAGTTGGACGGGGGCCCCCGGGCACCTCGGGTACCGTCCCTTCTGACCCCTCGGCCCCCCCGCTGCAGGCACAGACGACAACGACCTCAACTTTGACATCCTGAACGAGTTTGGTCCCCGCTTCCGCAAGCTGGCCGACATGTACGGCGGTGGCGACGAGGACGAGGACGAGCCGGCGGCCGGCGGCCGGCCATCGTCTCTCGCTGGCGAGTCCTGGTGCTAGCGGCGGCCCGCCACCCCGGCCTGAGCAGGTGCCGCAGAGGACGCGGCCCCGCCGGTGGCCGAGAGGGGCTGGGTCCGTGCTGGACACGTCGCGTGCCTGCGACGGTCGTCCGGCGCTCGTGGGTGGTTCCGCCCGTCCCCAGGGAGGACTGTCGGACGGCGGCAGCTGTGAGTCAAGCGAACAAAGGACCTTGGGTCTGCCTGCGTCTGCGGCTATCTCGCCCGCGCCAGGCCTTTTGTGGCCGTCGACTGCCGGACACGGGAGACGCCTCGAGGCAGCGTGTGGGCCCAACCGCGGCCACTGTAGCGGCGAGAGGAGTGACGCACGGCGCAGGACCAAGACCAGCGCCGGACCGAAGCCAGCGGCGAAGTTGTGATACCCGGACGTTGTCGTGCGTGGACAGCACGAGCGGCCGCGCCCGGAGGTGAACGCACGAGCGGGATGCCCCACGCGGTGAGCCGCCGGCTAGCAGATATCATTGCCACGGAGTACTTAATCTATTTTACGGTGCGGTTTGTGTGCGCGCGCGTGCGCGCGGTGCCCGCCAGCTACCGCGCGCCTAGTCATGTGAACTGCGGACGGGCTGTCGGGACCACAACCAACCAACCAACCAACCAACCAACCAACCAACCAACCAATCAAAGCTGTGAACCTGCGTGCTGGCGAGCGCGAGCGCGGCCGGGCGCAGAGGTGGGGTGCAGGGCGGCTGACGCCCGGCGGGGGCGCGGGCAGACGCCGGGCGGCGCTCGTCCAAGTGCCGGCGTTGCGAGTCGACGCCGTGTTTTGTAATCCATGTGATTGGTGCATCGGTGGCCGTAGCTAGCGGTGTTGCGTGTGCGGCGGCGGCGCGCCGGCCGTCGCGCGCGCGTGTCGCGGTGACCGGTGGCCGGCCCTCGGCCGGTTCGCACCAGGTTCGGAGTGGGGTGGACCGGAAGAGCGGAGGCATTTTACGTGTAGGGTCTCCTGCCGAGAGGCGGGACGCGACCGCCCGATGTGTGATCGTCAGTGGGGAGCGGTCCAAGCTGAATTGTCACTGTCACATTCCACTTTTCTACAGCGGCGACGTCACGGTTGACTGTGCCTCGCCCCGCGGCTGTGGGCCGGGGCTTGCACGCTGGTGATGATGATCTCAGTCCAGATCTGGAGGTGCGTCCTGGAGCTGTCACTCGTGCAACTGTGCCCTCACTAGAGCCTCCTGCCCTGCCGGTCGCACTCTAGCCCGCCCGGGGCCGGTGTGTGGCTGTCTGTACCGATGTCCCGCATTTTCTCAGCACAGCGGGGAGTGGCCCGAGCGGTCGGGCGGTCTCTCTTCTCTTTTATATGTTTGATAAGGTACCGACAGTGCCATAACGCTGCTTCTTTTAAATAAAAGTGCCTCACGAATTGTCGGTCGTTTGGAGGTGTTATCTAGATGGTATGCACTTGGCTTTTACAATGGTAATTTGACTGGGGTTTTAGCGTCAAACTCGCTGTAAAAGACATCTGTCAACTTCAGTGTTGTAGTTTTTACGGCGGTGCTTCTTGCTTGTAGTTAAAAGTGTCTGATGAGTTTCTCTTTTTTGACTGAGTGAAGAACAAAGCTGCGTTTTGTCCCCAATTTCTGAAACGGCTATCGAAAGGGTTGCCCGTCTAATATAACCAATCAATCGAAGGGGCTGCCCTAAAAAATTAACGTAACTTAACATGAGACTGGCCCATTTGCGTGTTTAATAGTACAAATTTCACGCAGGTCAGTGCAGCTGGATGCTTGGAAATCGAGCCCCGGCAGCTTTGTTACGAGAGATGGCCTTTATATCCGCGGTCTGCTGTTCAGTTCGTGTCCAGCCAATCAACTTCTCGTTTTAACAGATACCTTTCACAACTAGGGAGGTGGCCGTGCAAAACTACAGTGATTTTATACCCGCAGCGCTGGTCGCTCGTGGGTATGCATAATGGCTGCTCGGATGTACGCGCACATTGTGAGAAACCGTCGGCCGACGGGTTTCCCGTCACAAATGTCATGACACACGATGTTTCGGAGCGTCGGCTCGGGCGGGCCCTCCCGTCCGAGCCAATCATCAGTCATGCGCCGGGCCAGCCTCCCCGTCTATCCCCGCCAACTGTGCTTAGCGTGCCTCTCCGTCTCGCGCTGGGTGGGGCCCGTCGGAGCGCTCGGCGGCCGCGCCCGGCCGCCGTCGGCTCCGACATTCCTGCCCAGGCCGGCTGTCGCGGTCGACGCTCGCCAGCGGACCGACGGCCGCCGGTCACTGACGATTCGTCATCGGCAATGACCGGCGCCGGCGCGCGGTGGCCGTCGTTAATGCGTGCCGACATACCGGCGGCGCCGCCACGGCCCGGTTGCGGGCGCCACAGGGCCACGTTGGGAGGCGTGGTGTCCTCGTTGTTGGGCGAGGGGCTGCTAGCGGACAGGTGTGTTGACTGCCTCGTGACGCGGGGGTCACTGTCAACTGTGGTGTATGGGAGGGCCGTGTGGTGTTGGGCATTGTCGTGAACGATGTGCTTAGGTGGCGTCCGCCATGGCGCGATGAGTAATGCAGTGGTTGCGGGCGAGGCCGTAGCACGCAGGTCAAGTGAGCATTATTTGGTTAGTGAGAATATTGTCCGGCTGCTACGCTTTCTGAGGGGGCTTTGTCACCACTGATCGTAGGTTGACGTATTTTCTCTGCCGCAGGGAGTGTGATCTATAAAAAGGCTAAGACTTAAGAACCATTCACGTACCAGCGCTTTGATCATATGCGTGTTTCCTGTCGCATAGTCACATTGCCACGACTTCCTCTCCCCACGTTCGAGTAACATGGACTACGTAAATTTACAAGTGCCGATGAAACAAAGTTCGACAAAAGTAAAGGATGACAGTTAGAGGAAAAATATCATGGATGTCGGGTCCGGATTTCAGCATACAGGTGCCAAAGCAACATAGCGCTATATGATACCGTCACAGGAGAAAACGGAAGTCCCATGCGCACAAGTTGATTTACGCAGGCAGACAATCGCTCTCGTGCGCGAACAACGATCCCGTTTTGGATATTTTTAAAGGATTAGCGACATATATCGCCAACCAAACCAGAAAAAGACGTGAAACCACCTGTACGGTGCGGGCGTATGTACGGGCTGCAACTCACTGACGGATTGTAAAACTGTCCGAGCCAAGCTACAGTTACGATCGACCGGTAAGCGGTCAGAGAGCTGTTGTTTCCAAAGCCGATCTCAAATACACGACGCCCCGTCTAAATGGAGGCAGATTGAGTCATGCAAGTTACACGCAAGTTTAGTCCTGTTCACTGTGATAAATAATCACCCAAGATATGCATGCGTTCTATAAAGCTTCAGTCATAATGGCCGCTGCTCTATATCCTTGTAAATTTAGCGATTTTGCTCATTAATCCTCGCCCAAAAGGGGAGGGGTCGGTACGATCCTATTTTTTCAAGAATAATCCTCCAGCATGGTGTGCAATGCTGTTATGTATACATATATATATATATAGGACGACGAATCGGGTCGACGGTTAAAATCACGAGATCTTACAAGCCTCGAAAACATCTGTTTTTTCTGTAATTATCCTACGCCGCATTAAGCGGCTAAATCGAGCTTTACCTCAGACACGACCAGGCATGCCAGCACGAAACATGTCCAGCTGAAATGTCAGCATTGATTTTTTTAATTGAAAACGTCATGTTGAAATTGACAAAGTCATGTGCAAGCTCAAAGTGCCTTGAAATATTTAAAGCGGCATGTACAAATTCAAAGCGTCGAGTTAAAATCTTAAACGTCATGTCAAAGTTGAAAATATATCAGTTAACAGCATGTCCAACTGTCTCGAACGAATGAGGGCATGTCATCTGAGTGCATGCGCACGAGGACCAACGCAGAACGCATTCACACCGATAGCGCGTGGCGATGCATCGTTTTTGCGCCCCCCCCCCCCCCCCGTGCGTATATCTATTTCAGTGGCGTCCGCGCTCGTTGGCTGTAACCACGTACACTGGGCAGCCTGCTTGACCAGCTTTTGGAGGACGCGCGTTTGTGAGGGAGGTGCGCTCTGGCTATGTAATACCTGATAGTGAATACTGCTGCATGCATGCTCTGTTTCGTGAGGCGGGCACGCCAAGGTTATTTAATCGCACTCTCTTTCATCCCGAATACGCTACATGTTGCTGCAGTGCACCAAAACACGCCCAGATGAAAGAGCTGGTAATGCTCAAATTTCCATTTCGGCCAAATCCTACGCCGAACTTAAATGCGGGCCGGATTACGCACTTGGCTGAGCGAAAGCATGGCTGCACCGACGAAGCTCGCGTTCTGCGAGTTGATATTTTAATCAAACATTAATATCCGCACCAGTGCGCAGTTCGTTCAGTTTGAACTAGGCCGGGTTGCCTGCAGCAGAAGCGACGACTAAATGAGAGGAAGCGCGTTCCAGGTGGTAAAACAGACCTGCAATCAGCTGTCAGCAAAACTACAGCCAATAGTTACAGATGGATATGGCCACGAAGCACTGCCGCCTTTGCACAGGTTTCGTCTTTGTCTTTCCGGCTTCTGCTTTCGCTTAAATGGAATGTTCCGCATTTTAAGATAACGAAGCAAGCATCATGGATGATAAAAATCACTTATAACTATCGCTTTACTTTTAAGTGGAAAAGACTGCTTTTCACAGCACAACTACTTTTGTTAATGACTGTCCTCAATACTCCATTGATTGCATCATGGAACGTTTGTATGACGTTGAGGTGTTGCCAAACTAGCGGTGCAAATTGTTCCCGTTGCATTCACTCGTGGTAAGTACGTCAAACTCACCGAGAGATAGCAGTATTACTGTGCTTCTACTTTGACCCTTTCTCGTGGTATCCTTGTGTAATTATCCATCAGTTTAAGACGTTTATTTACGTTCACATACTCGATTATGGCGCTTCTGTAAGTTGTTTTGTTTGCAGGTCTTTTTGCCGTAATAGGTAGAAATGGTGTCCAATTTCTTATATCATATAGCGCAAAACTTGATTCGTGATTGAAGCTTGCACAGTCCGCTCAACATTGATTGAGAGCCAACTCACGTCCACCAGGGGCAGCGCTACCAATTTTTGGTCGGGGGACGAGGTCACAAAACTATCGCGAGCCTTTAATAAAAACAAAGGGACGAGGAATCATGTGTTCAATAACTGGCATTCTTGTAAACGATCATTGTTATGGAAATTCCGCACGTGTTTTGAGCTACACCACCATAGGGAATGGGGCGCAGATACTGGGATGGGGACATGGTCTGGGACCCGCAACTTTCTGGAAATTTAGCATGGGGCCTTTTGGGTGTTAACTGCAAATATAGACACAAATGGCTGTCATCCCCTCGCCTTCTCCGCGTGGGCGGATGTCCGTTGTTTCATCCCGGCGGGAGCATGATCGCATTATCTCAGCTTTTTCTCAGCACATCATATTTTCAATGGAGTGGCTTTTTCTCAGGATAGCATGTATCTGTGTATCAACGTGTGTACATACGGTGGAAAAAGTTTCGGGGGTGACATTTTACGTGTTTGAATCCCGCAGCTACGCTACGGCTGGGGCGCCCCATTCCAAAAGTGTGTTGTTTTTTCTTATGGAAAAGTAACAACAAAGAGTAAATCTTGCCATTTCATACCGTGTCAATAAACATAGCAACGATCCGCTGCTTGAGCATCACAAAGTTCGCATACTTCTTCCAGGTCTGCACCGCCACCGTTTATGGTGCGGTCCTAAGCGCATCCAGACGGTCTTTGTTTTGTGTTTACACTGGCAACAGCGACTGCGGCTTGAACTGCATCAGTTTGACTCAGGCGAAGACTATCATATAACACACTGCTGGTGGGTCGATCCTCGTCTGCGTCTGCATTTATCAAAACAATTTTCAGCTCCGTCATCGCACGATGAAGTTGTATTCAGCTGTGGGTGAACTGGCGGGCAGGGTCGTGAGAAGACGATCAAGCGCGATGACCTCAGGGATGTGCTCCCGAGCGCTGTGCCTGATATTGCGGAAAACGGACAGGGGAAAAGATTTGAATACAGCCACCAGGGGCCATACGTGACCCCTTGCAAATGGGAAGGGTCAGTCCCCGGTTGCCCTTCTGGTGGCACTGTCCTCGGGCGTGTCCGTAGGGTTGGCATACGCAGCTTCTGCGCGACCTGCAATAAAAATGTCCCGAGCTGGAAAAGAACGAAGGAAGAAATTAAACCGCGTCTTTTCCGGCAACGTAAGTGGCGTATCACAACGCGATGGACTTAAAGCGAGGTGCATTTTGAGCATGTTTTCATGCAAAGTATAGGATGACAACCTGTCTTCGGCTGGTGAGTGATATTTGTAGCCCCCTAAAGGGAATGCTTTACATTTGAAGATATTGAAGCAAGCATCA